TTATTCTTAGATATTTTTCAAAAGAAATTTTTAGTAAACATATGGAGACCCGAGTTTTGTAGGTCTGTGGATAAAAAAAAAGATTCCTAGCTGGTATCATGGACAAAATGTATACATGACATTTTCAGAAGATCATATAAATAAGGCAAAACCACTTGAAATCCATGAGGTGAACCTTATGCAGTAATTACTGGAAACAATGTGGAAAAATCCCTTGTCATTTTTCTTCCTCAATCTCAGAAAAAAAACAATTTTATAGGAAAATGAGAGAGTGACAGTTTGGACTTGGCAGTACAGAAACTTTTCAAAGATTCCTTCCTGACTTTTGACATGATAGTAGTCAAGACACAGGGATTTATTCAATCACCCCAAAACATATTTTGGGGAGATTTTATGACTTTTCAACATAACTACACTAAGTACAGTAACTTGTCTCCTCTTAGTATGCAGGAAGGAGACTACACTTTACCCCTGCTATAACTGTGGTGAAATAAGATTTTTTAAAATACTCTTGCAGGGGCACCAAATTGAACTAATGTTCTGGAGTTGTCTTCCATTGCACATCCCAGAACAGGAGCAGGCAAAAGGCTAACCACAGTGCTGAAATTGTTTTTAGAGATAACAGCACCTCTTTCAGCTGCCTCAAACAAATTATAAAAATTTTGTTAATAAAAGATGCATTTTTAACAGCCCCTAAATTCTTAACAATTGAATCAAATTTGGCTTTTTTAAGGCCAATTTGATTTGTTTGTCTGATAGGTTAGATAAACAAGCCACTTCTTTTCAAAGAATATAAGATTTCTCAAGCTCATTGTGTGTGCTGTAGGCATGAACTTGCAGAGAAGAGGCCCTGTTAAGTATACTCTTCTCCCTAGGGAACCCCTATGATTCACTGAATACCACTGGCAAAAGCTTCACACCAGGGTCTCCATACTGATCAGTGATTCTCTCCTTTAAATTGGAAACAGCACTGAAAACTCTGTTTCAATGAGGGCCAGTAAAACATTTTTTTGGTAAGGTAATAGACAGAGCAGACTCTTCAGGGCAGACTTGGTGTCTTCTCACCTTTAGTTCGGTGGAGTTTGTCCTCCTGCATTACAACTATACAGGGAGACTCAGAATCCAACAATTTTGAGATCAGTCTGTGTTTCCTAACTGCTCATCTCTAAGTCAGCAGGGAAACTTCATTCTGTGGAAAAGACAGCATGTTCTAAAGTGGGAAGAAACCAGTTACCAGGTTCATTAAGATGTTTCAGCTTTAGAAACATAAGGTTCTAGAAAGAAGAAAAGGAATTCAAGTCCCATATTTAAATAATGCCTCAGAAGCTTCTTTTGGAAGAAACTTATGACAGATCCACAGGAATAATGCATTCAGAAAGGAAACAGTATGAAGAGGATTAATCAACCATTTACTGCAACCAAAAATCCAACTATTTAAACAGCAGCAAATAACCTATCCAGATTTAAACAGTAAGCCCAGGATTATTATGAGCAGCAAATGTAGGACTGACTGAGGAAAAAAAGTCCTTGGCAGTTTTATCAAGTAAACCTTAAAAAATAAGTCAGGAGCCAGACTACTTTTGTTTCTAGCAAATAATCCAAAATTACGGGAACTGTTGTATTAGTACAAGGTACAGGCCTGAAAGAATGAGGGCTGAGAATCCAAGTCTGTTCTGTAAAGTCATCTGTAAGTCAATGATCTCCTTCACAGGTAAAGAAGAAGAATGGTCTAGCACTGCCAGCCATTCAACTCCATGGATATTGAAACTCCATATTTTGATATGAGGAAGAGGCACAGCACTGAAATTCCTACTCGTAAACAAAGGTCTTGATACCAAAACCTCCTTTCACAGTGTGGAATCGGAGATATGTATGTCAGCCTTTCAAGCATCATAATGAGGAGCATTTCCAACAAACCATGATTGCCCAAAAACATTCTATTCTCAAGACTAGATAATTTCTGGATGTCTTGTTGGCATCCAAGACTAAGTGCTCTATATAGTGTCACGTGCTCTCCCACTGATGGCACTCACATGACTTGTGAGGATGTTTTAAAGGCCAACATAAAACATGTAAAAGGGAACTTAATACTTCATGTAGTGAGTACAAGTCAGCTCTTCTGGAGAGGAGAATCTAATACCTCTCCCTTAATTTTTATGTTGTAGTATGCTCATCAGCTAAACACAGCACAAAATGTGAGTAATGTGTACATCGACCTCCAGGACTCTGATGTACACATTACTCCTTTCAAGACTAACAAATCTGATTCTCTGTCATTAGAACAGGGTGCATAATTTAGAAGTGATGCAAACATCACAGAAGAGGAGAATCCCTCAATTACATTATTCAGTGTCACCAATGAACCGGATTCTAAATGACTGTTGGGGCATTCTACTGGTAATTTTCTTTTCTCACAGTAAAAAAAGGCACTTTTGATGAAACTCGTTGATGAATACAGGGAAGTTAATATCAAAAAAGTAGAGAAAAAATAATCTGCACTTGAGGAACACATATATAATTCTACTCCCCTTGTGCAACTATTATAAATCCAAAATGCTTTGCTATTCTACTTTCCTCCCTTGTACTAGAAGACACTTCCTATAAAATGTCTGCTCTCCCAAGTTGTGTGGGAAACAGTTCTATGCCTTCCCACTGAATCTCTTAACTGAAGCACGCTCTGAGAGGTTTTTGAAAAGGGACAGACATGGAGGTAGCAGAGCTGTGAAGAGACAAAATGCATGTGTTTTCTTTCAGTAGCAGCACCCACCATGCACAAAGACATATATGGACTCCAGGCTGAGGAATAAGGGGAGATGGAAAAAATAAGAGACTGGAATTACAAGATTTGTTCCTGATTCTCTATTGCACATGATCTCAATGTAACAGCATTTGTGCTCAGAGCTGGGATCAGCAGATTCCCAAGGCAAAGGAATACTGCTATGTCCTTTGATGCTCTGGCTGCCCTAACATATCCTGAGAATGAACAGCAGTTTAAGGTCTAGGTGTTTGGCTTCAGGTAAACGACCAGTCTTGATACCCCTAGGGGTTTTTTGTATTTGTTGAAAACAAGAAAAATTTTCCAAGGGCAAAGGATGCAAGGCTTCACTCTCCTGATGCTGACAAAATTCATCCCTTCAAAACGATGGTCATAGACTGCACTGTGCATTTTTCTGAATACTTAAAAAATCTTAGAGACAGGATGTTTGACATACTGCTACTAAGTCATCACAGTTACAGGTGTAAGGTGGGCTACATCTAACATGCAATGCAAAGAAGTTCAGAAAACATGGCTATAACTGAGTACAAATTATTATCCCAAAATGAGTGGGTGGGAGATTGGCAAAGCTGCAAAACAATTAACCTGTGTTCATAATAAGTCAGCATTAACTGGTAATTTTCTTGACAAAGATGTAACAATGCTGCTTCTGCCAATAATTCTCATAAGACAATCACCTTTCCTGGGCTAACTGTATTTAAATCTCTGTCCTTCAAACATCTCTATAGTTTTCAGTGGTGACTGTGATAACCTAAAAAAACAAACTAGAGAACAAAAACAGACATGAGAGTTCCACAAGGATGTATATCCTATAGCTACTCAATCCTGCACATGAAACCCAGTGGAATAAGGATAACTCAGATCCTTCAGGAGGAAAAAAGGAACAGAATTGTTATTTACTGAAGCTAAATCTTATAGGGAAGTAGCCCCTCCAAAATTTCCAGAATGGAGCTGGAAGCTACAGCCAATACCACACATAGCAGAGTAGGCTGTGAGAAGACAGACCCAAGGTCTTGAAGTCCACAGCTGCTGAGGATGTGCAGAAGTCTGAAGTAACAAACTCTGCAACCAAACTTTCACTAATCATGAGCCAACAATTTGATGCACCAGTAGAAACATCTGTCTTCAAGACCTATGGGTGGAATTCAATGATTACAGACAGAAAGGACATGGTCTGAACATAACTTCACAAGATTTTACAAATCTCTTGGTCACTGATGATATGTGATGGCAGCACAGGCAGCAGAAAAATGCTGTAGAGATGCATGAAGAACACAGCTGAAAAAATGCAAAGAAATCCCAACAGGATCATGACTGTCTAACAGAAATGAAAGATAAGCAAATGAAGGAAACAGCTATATCAGAGAGCTGTATTTTGGACAAGTGAAGTATTCAATGTGTTTCATATGTGTGAGTGGAACAGAAAAATTCATGCTTTAAGCAAGTGATGGTATGAACATAATTATTAAATCTTCTCTCAATTTATCTGGTCTTGAGTGACAGAAAAGATGCAGAATTCAAGAGTGGACAAGAACACAATTGTTTCAAGAGAAAACACTTTCCCCTTCTGACATGGTTTCTTCTGTCAGCCCTTTGAGTTGATCGTTATCTACTTGCCAACAGATTAGAATGATCTCTTAACACTGACTATACAGGCTATAAATGATAGGGCAGCTATGGAATAAGAAAAGAGGTCAAACAGGATGTTGAATCCAATCTCAGAGGACTCTGATACAAGCAAAGGGAGATTCTGTACCCTTTGAGAATAGAAATCATACTCCTTGGTGTTGGACAAGGCAGAAGTTGCAAAATAATGAGTTTTCCTTTATCCGTGCACCAACAAAGAGCCAGAGCTGAAGCTGCTTCCTGTTCATTTTAAGGATGGGTAGATCTTCTCTCCAATACATTTTCCAGCTGCTGATGTTGTTTTCTAACACAAGCAAACTAACTTTCATAATGTTAGGCAAATTTTAATTTAGTGGCTGGAGTGCTTCACCAAGCCACTACTGCAACTGATAAGAGCCACCTGGGCCTTAGGATTCAAGCTTGGGTCTGAAAATATCGACCAATTAAAAAAGTTTATAAAGCCTAAACAAACAGAAATCAAAACACAAGCCACACAGAATATAAGCATCCAACAGTGAAACATAAAGACAGATTTAAAATCCTGTCCAGTAAAATGACAGCAAATATTTTGGGGGTGTGAATTAATAACTGAAATTGCAACCAAAACAAACAAATGAAATTACTTTATTCAAATGGATCATTTCCATGGCTCTGTGCCAAAATTCAAGATGGCAACAAACACAGATATCTCCAGTCATATGTTCTAATATTTTTCTCTGCTGATGGTTGCCATGTGATGAAAGCACAGAATTGTGGCTGTTACCAGACTAGGACAGACTGAAATGGCTGAGCAAATGAGATTTTATGTTCAAACCTGGACCTTAGGAAGAACAACTGGAGGAAAGATTTCTTGTCTTACAGAAAGATCTCACAGTTAGTGATCACGAATAGGTGGAAGGAAGGGACCCAAAGACTCAGCAGCAGAAGCTCTCAGAGGCAATCATTCACCTCAGCTTGCAGGCGTATCACCACAGTCTGCTTCCACAGATGTTCAGGTACTCTCGTCAGTGGGTTTTCCTCTCACCAAGGCCTCCTCTTCTCTCTTTTCTGGCTGTTAGGGGAGTGTAGTGGCATGAAGTCACTGCTGCTTTTTCCTTTACCCCATACTTGAAGCAATGCTCTGGATTCCTCACCTGGTGTGTGTTAATCTTTCTCTGCGAGCAGAGGCTGGAAAAAAACAAAGTTTTTTTACTCAAAGATTTTAAGTAATCATGGAGGACTGTTATGTGTGGAAAAACTGCTGTACTGCTCTGCACATCTCAGCCATTACCAGAAATCTGGGTCTCCCTATCACACAACTTCTCTCTGCCCTAGTAGAGGAGATCACAAATCAATATAACAAAACTTAAATTCATAAACTACTGTGTGAAAAAGTAGTCTTGGTATTCCTCTTGAGCACCAGAATACCTTCTTCACTCTTTGCTTCTGACTCACATGACTCATCTATTCACATGCATCCTCCTCTAAATCCTTCTTCCATATCAGTATGCTTTGTCTTTTTTGTTTAGGTCTTTTACTCATTTCCTTGTATGGGAATCTGCTTCCCCACTTCAAGACATGTTGAGGACCTTGGTGCAGGAGAGATGGGGGTATGAGAAGGTTGATCTTTAAAAGAAACCAAATGGGGATAAGGAAAAAAAAATTTTCTTCCTGTTATTATAAAGATATATTTTTGACTTCTACATACTGCAACATTCTCCTATTTAGGCATGTTATGGAGAAAAGTCAATATAATCTTCACTTCTTTTACTTAAACATCTTTATACAATCCTTTAAAAAGAAAAATCCAAAACACTTAGAAATGTACGAAGTTTATTTTGGACAGTTTGCATTTTGCAGCTAATCTAGTAGGTAAAGCTTGTCCTGTGTATTGGCACATTGGCTTGCTCCTAAACATGAGTGACATTTGTTGAGAGCTGTTTATTAAAAATATTGCTGTATCTTAAAAAATACACTCTCCTTGAAAGTCCAGCACAGAGACAAACACCACAGAGCACAGAGGACCTGGAAATATGTTTCAAAAGCAGGATTGCCAGCTATGTCACTGCACAGAAAGTTTGGAAACTGAATTAAAAATCAAACTGTCAACCATGTGTATTAAGATAGGATACCAGTCCAGAAACTTATCCCTTGGCAATATGCTGAAATAAAGGAAACAAAGGCACATGAGAGGCAGCCAATTTCAACCTCATTTCCCTCTTTTGAAGAGACCTTTGAGCTTTCCTATTTCTACAGAAATGCACAGTACAGTTTGTCTTTTCTCACAAACTGAATTAAAATCACTTTGCTCGAGCTCTTGCATGGCTACCTTGAGGACTGAGCACAGAGAGGAGCATTCCTATGTCTACAAGCAAATATATAGGTTCCTAACATGAGTGCAGCTCATGGCCAATACAATAATTTCATAAATATTAATGTATATAATTCTATGAAGTTTTATAATTTCAAAGGTACTGGTGAGCATTTCATCTCCTCTTCTGGTTGAGTAAGTGGAACAGAAAAAAACCTCATTCCTGACAGGAGCCAATATTAAGGGTTGATTCTCTCCAGTGATAAGAGTCATTGCAGTGAATCACCACAAAAAACAGAATGAATTTCCTTTATTCTCTGCCTGCCAGGAGGTGTTAAAATATCTGCCCGTATGTCTGTCCACATGTTTACACACCATTACGCCATACATGAGTGCACCTCTAAAACTCAGAACAGTCACACAGTGGGAAGAAAAGGATTACCTCCATTTTATGGATATGATTCTGAGTTACAAGGAAATCACAGGAGTTCTGTAAAGTCATTTAAGAGATGCCTGCACACTAAAATTCAGTGCCATATAGACTTTCCCAGCAGAGAAGTACACAGCCTTGGTCACACACCAGCACCTAATCTACTGTGCTTCCAAGCTGCAGGAATGAGACAGAGCAGAGAGCACTAGGCTAGAAGACAGTACTGGGTCAGGGACCCATGCTAATATTTTTTAGAGCTAGTTTGGGCTGTTTCATCATATCTGCAGAAAGTTTGCGGGAGAACTGAGAAGCATGTTGAAGTCTCATGAATCTAGTGTTGAAAGCAGGAACTTTCTTTCTCCCTGAAAAGCTAGGATTATCCTAGAAGTTCAGATTTTTTTTTATCCCAGAGCAGAGGGAATTTCTAATCCGAGTGATGCTCAGCATTCTCTTGATAATATACAGTGCAACTAAGAAAGGCAATAAATAAATGGGGTTTATTTATATCCACGGCTGACTGACACTAGCAAGCAAGGACAGCTGAAAACAGAAAGACAGCCCTCCCTCCCCCATATTTTGGGCACAATTTAAACCTGCCTTGCTGGACCAGGCAGGCCAGAGAAAGCACCAAGTCCAAGTCATGAAAATTTTCTTGGGGGCGTGGGAGGTGGGGAGGGGGGAGGGTGTGTGTGTGTGGGGAGAGTGTGATGTATGTGTGTGACAAAGACAGTACACGCAACTGTCACAAACAGTATAAACAACTGTATTCCAGTGAAGTCTTCCTGCACAAAAAGAGCAGCAAGCAGACTCATTCACAAGAGAGAAACAGCAGTGGAAATCAGCATGAGCCTTCCTGCTTCCCATTTTAAAGAGACTGTGTCTTTAACACATACACACCCTGACTGCTAATGCCCTTCTGTACTTGACAGCCTTCATTCTAATATCTCTCATTCACCTCCTTACTCCCCAGTTTTTTGTGGCTCTCTCTTCTCTGGCTCTTCCCCATGTTTCATTTCATAACTTCACACTCCTTTTACCCTATTCACACCCATTTTGGCTTCTGTTTTAGTTCTCAATAAAATAATGCCAGATTAAAACAAAATCCAATTTGGATGGGTGAAATCATCCTCTCTATAGGTAGCTTAATGCCAAAGGGCCAGATGTGAGACAGAAGTAGCCAAGATATTATATAACCTCTCCCCAGTCTTTGCACACCTGATCTTGAATGACATTTCCAACACAGCAAGAAAATACAGGCAGTTTGTCACCACCTCACGACTGAGAACAAGCAATAATCAGCTGCCAGTCAGGCAAAAATGCCAATTGCCTGAATTCATTACTTATCCTGCTTCAGAGTTTTCTTTGAGTCTGTCAGAAGTGAAGGCTCCTAAAATTCAAGCTGGGTTCTAGTTCTTAAACAGGAAAGCCAATTTCTAGAGACTGTTCTTTCCTTTTTCTCCTGCTTTCCCAGGAGAAGTCCTGACACTTGGAATGTCCTTTCAGTGGCATGAGATCAGTAGCAACAGGAAAAAGCTCCTTCCTTTCATAAAAGAAAGCCAAAAGGGTGAGTAAAGGTGTGAGAGGCGGGCTGCTCTCACAGGTTAAGGAATAAATGTAATTTCTGATCATTAGAAGTGAACACTGACCCTCAGATCTACCTGAGAGGCCATGGCTGAGTTGGACATTGTCTTCTTAACATCATCTGAGAAGGGCCTGGAATGCTGCTTCTGGCAGCACTTTACACTCTGCTGAGATTTAATAAGACTTACATACAGTTTTTTCATAACTGGATAAATTCAAACATAGTCATGTCCTGTATCTGTTTTAAAGGTACTGATTAGAAATATCAATATTTGCTCATTGCTAGTCATAAGGTAATGTTCCCTGCCCCTTCAAAGAGTATTAAGAAATGGGGTAAGAAGAAGGTCTTTTTTAACCCTCATCCTTTCCCTTCTGGTCCATCTGGTACTACAGGCTTGTGTGTCATTATCTGACCTGGGACTGATGCAACAACTAAAGCAGGGAGAGGAACTGTTTTTTCCCCTTCCTCTTTGCCCCCTTTATAAAACTGTGGAAGTCAGTATGGGTAAGAGAGAGACGATCCAGGATGTTTTGGTGATGCATGAAAGAACAATGGATTTAGGAAGATAATTATTAGAACAAATATGAAACTAAATATCCTTTCATTGTGACTGATTCTTTGCCCTCCCATAAAGGGAGGCACAACAGTAGGATTCAACTCAAGCTCCACTGCTTTCCAAACTATGGTAAAATGGCCCAATTCTGTTTCTCAATAATCCTTTCTCTGCATGGAGACAGCACTACAGAGAGATGCTGACAGAATGTTAACTGTTAACAAAAGGCTGCAGGGCGAGAGGCCGCACTGGAAAAATACAATGCAAAGTGCTGGATATGACACTGGAGTTCCCTCTTCAGTGACCCACCTAGAGCTTCTCAGCCAGATAGGTGTGTCTGGGAGGATTTATGTGGAAGAGCTCATCATTACTCCATTCCTGGATTAGGGTAAGCAATGAGGTGATATCAAAAGTTGTTCTTCTGTGTCATAAAATATCTTGTGCTGGAGATGCCCAAGTAGTCTGAGGTCGAGGTTACTTGAGGTGCCCATTTGAAGGTCACCTTTTAAAGTGAAGACCACTTGTGCAGTCAGTCACAGCAACAACAGAGAGAACCAGGAGGGTGGCAAATGAAGACTGGAATTAACAGGATTAGTGAAAGGGAGGAGGCGTACCAGCAATGTGCTGTGCAGAAACCTGAGTGATTTCTTTTCCCAGCTGCTCCTGATGAAGGATTTGGACAGTGTGGTGAGACCAGCTGAAATCATAGCCAAGGTTCCTCTTGGGAATGTGGTAACAACGTAAAAATAAATACACTGGTGTTCAACAATCTACTGCCTTCCGAGACTGCAGGAAACCTGGCAGAAGCTGAGGAAGCCTGGACAAGGCTGGGCAGCTGGGAATTCCACTCCAGTGCAACAAATGGCTGTGAGTCTGAAACAGGCCATGTACAGTGGTAACAGTACATATTCCATCCCATTCCTACCCTTTGTCATCCAAGAGAGTTGAGAGACATTGGCTGATAAAAGAATCTCCAAATTCCAGGCATTTTTTTTCTGTTTAGATCTGGCAAACAATATGAAGTGATTATATATGTCTTGTTTAAATGACTGCTGTGTTTACTTGCCTTTTTTTTTCTGGTTCAGAACAATTTTAAAGCTTGTACTTTTGCATACCTGCTAAACCAATCTCGTTTTCCTTAGGCTCACATAAAAGAGGCTGCATTTTTAAGGTATGATGTTAATTCAAGCAGTGAGTAGACAACAGCCAGTCAAGGCTTAGCACAACCAGAGTTAACTCCAATTTCAGAACTAGACATACAGTAACATGACCTTCTTTTGAAGGACCATACAGTAATCTTGAATATAAAAAATTTTAGAAATACACGGTCTACCTGTAGATTTTCTGTAAAATGAAAAAAATCTGGTGCATGCTAGATGGTGAGAAGAGGAAGTACAAAAGTGCTCCTTACTGTCACTAGTTTGCAAGCAGGCTCCATTCATTGCTCTAAACTGGACCACACCACTTGTACATTCTTCATATTTGGATGGCATTCAGACACTGCTCTCCACCTTAGCCTACAGAAGAAAATTACTAGAAAACAAAGAACAGCAGCCTGCTTTCTGCATGGAGGAGATCCAAACCAGTTTATTAATCCCCATATTCTTCAACTAGTCTCTTGGCAGTCCAGGATCCAGTTTTAAGTCCTTATAGATGATGATACACTTTATTTCAAAGAGTTGCATATTTTCAGGACTTGGCATTCATGCAGATTTGGAGGCCAGGTGAATGTCCAAAATAAACAGACAACTGTGCATCACCCTGCAACTAAGCTGAGACACAGACCTAGGAATCACAGGGAATAAAATCAAGTCTATACCAACTAGCTCAAGAAGTTTCCTCTCTAGTTTCAGACTGAGTTTTGACATTCACTTGTGTGATGTATTCTCAGGGGAACTAAAACATAAATAAATTAATTTTTTAGGACTCATGTTTTAAACCAGACTACACAGAGATCCAAGACTTTGCATGAATTATTGGTCTTCACGGCTGTCAAACTCAAAATGCATATTACCAATTTTTACCTCCCCTAATCAGCAATTCTAATGTTTTTTCTCTCCTCCCAGCACACACAGTGGAAAAGTCATGTGGTCACTAGTAAGGTAAGCATTAGCACAATAAAACTGCATCACTGTTAATCAGTCTAACAAGGTGAAAGTCCTATCAAGTTTGGAGTCAGGCATCAGTCTTGCCTAGTTTTAATCATGATTCATATTTGTTTGTTATTATATAGGGTATTAGTGGATTATGGTTTTACCAGATCAAAACAGAATGCCAGAAGCATTCTGTGTTCTGAAGTTTTAAAATAAAAATTTCACAAACTCTCAAGAAACTGTCAGGAAATGAAGGGGAAAAGCCTAAAGACAAAACATAGATTTCACTCATACAGCAACTCAACATTTGCTGTTACCTTTGCAAATGAGAATGAGAATCACATTTTGAGTTGGAAGGGACCCACATGGATCATCAAGTGAATGGCCCATACAAGGATCAAACCCTCAAACCAAATAAAATCAACTTGTGCATCTACTCCACAACTACACGGAGGGGTTATCCATGCTTCCAGATTGTTCCTGTCTCCAGGCTCTTGCAGAGAAGAGTACAGCTCAGGAACAGAGAAGCTGCGGTTATATTTTCATGAAGTGCTCTTCATGCTCTATTTTCCCTAAAACCTGCTTTGTGTTAGCATTTTCAAAAAGGAAAACTAATAAATATAATTAATTCCTAACTGTGAGGTCCTACATATAGCCACACATTCCTTGGCATTACTTTCCAATTGTTCAAAAGCTAAATTCTAGTGGAAAAATTATATCTTTTTCACCTAGACCTTCACTATTTTGAGAAAATGAATTCACACACTATTCACCTAATGGCACTAGAGAGAAACAGAAAATAAAGCAGCAAAACACAAAAAAATGTCTCCATACACCTTACATTTTTAATATATAAACAAAAAATGACAAGTCTGACCATCATCTGAACTCATCATAACAAGCACAGCCTCCTAAAGACAACCTGGAACTGAAAAACCCACCACAGCACTTAGCTTAGCTGTTACTCAGCCAGTTATATTCTGAAGAAGACTTGGATAAGAGAACTGATTTCTTAATTCACAATCACCCTATTTCAATAATACTAATTGAATTGCTAAATTCTGTGAAGCAGGAAACATTCAGTGTAATGCTGAGGGACCCTCAAATTAACACAGAATAAAAAAAGCAATGCGATTATGGCTGTATTTTCAGAAAGACTAACAACCCACCAGTGGCTGAATTTTCAACTTCAGTGAAAAATCATGTTAGATGCATTTTGAATGCTCCCTGGAGCTAGTGATTCTTGGTATTTCTTTAATAGAATAAGTCCTGTTAAACTTTCAGGAATTTTTATAAGAAACTGTCTGTTCAGACACTACAAATAACGCCCCAGTGATATCTTGCAGATTTAGCTTCCTGTCTGTAGATAGTCATGAGGATCTCTGTCTTCTCTATCATTACATCAATGGCACATAGCTCACACAACTTCTGCCTCCTCATTAAATGTAGATGAGGCCCTAGGAATCAGAGGCTGCCACACTGTCTTCTAGCGGTGGCTTGTTTCAGAATCCTGAGCTGCTTTGCAGAAACGTTGACTTTTACTCTCCCTTTTATGTCAAAGGATCTGTCCTCAAGAGACTGATCCCACTGCACAAGTGTCTACAACTGCTATTCTGCAGTTGGCAGCACTAACCACCAGTGAACTGTTTTTTGGATAATCTGGTTAAAAGTTTCCATACTGCCTGACTCTCTCTTCCATTGAGCATCATCCTGACTTCTGGTTAGATGACTTATGACACTTTTATGCTGCTTCTCCACAGAGGCCCATAACTATTCTCAGAAAGGATGTTAGAGAAGAAGGCTTATCCAAGCTTCTCAGACATTTTTGAGTATTTGCGTGTGTGTTTATACAGAGGTTCTGCCTGGTTCCTCTTTTATCTCTGCAACTTTTCAGAGCCTTCTATCTTTAAATGCTTGCAGTTTATGATTTGTGTGTCCAACCTCTCTAGTTGGTATTTAGGATACTAAATATATGTGAAACATAACCCCAAATAAACTGTTGCTGAGGGGAAATTGGGGCTCTAGAGTAAGCAATCAATGGAGAGAGTGAAGAAGAAAACCAGATGTTCCTACAGCAAGGACCAGAGTAGTTTCTGAGACACACAAACTGGGCACCAAAGCCTCTGAGGCATACCAGTGGCATGGTGCAAACTGAAGAAAATATCATTCCCCAGTTTCCAAGAACAAACATTCTGCTCTAGTTAGTTTAATCATTGAAACACTTAGCACTGTTCGTGGAGCTATATACCTCTTCTAGCAACAAGGAGGCTTTGAGTGACCATTCACTATGGTGCTGCTAGCCTACCCCTAGCCAAACTAGGGCTTTATGTAAGCCCTGACACTCTTAGCTACATGGCAGGCTAAACCCTTTGTTTGATCTTCAGAGAAGATAAGTTTAGTACAGTGCAGCCAGTCTAGTCCTACAGGAGGAAACATGAGCTGAAGTTCTCAGTTCTCACTGGATTACAAGTATTCACAGAGAAGGTGACCACCCTGAACTTTGTAGTTGTTATCTAGCCTATATTCTTTCTCCAGCTCTGACTGTTGCCTTCCAGCATTATTATAATCAACAATCCTCATGCATGCACTGAATAAATACTCACAGAAATGGGAAAGGACAGCAAAATGCTACCTATAGTTATCATGGACACACATAACAACAATAGTACCCAGAGAAGATGTAAAGATTCTCTTGCAAAAGTTAAAATTACAGCGGGACAACTGTGACAGTGCCCTTCAAAGTGTGAAAAAGAAGGCAGAATTCAGCACACAAACACCTTTCTCTAAGTCCACTAAACAAACAAATTTCTTCAGTATATTGACAACTCCATTTTTACATTTACTTGCAAGTTTGTCTGTAACCTTACTTAATATCTGTACTAAAAACTTAACTTGAACTATATAGTAGACCAGAACTTCTGCCTGAGCTACACATATACTAAAGGGTTGACATAGTTTCATTTATTTTGATAATCCCATCATACGCCAGAATACGTTGTCACGTTCCAATGTGCTGTAGGGTCTTTTTTACTGACTAAGGCTATTCACCCTATAAAATTTCTGGTAGGAATTTTTGGCAGGTGGTAAAGTGTGGGAGGCAGTTTGGAACTGTACATTAAGTGCATTAGCTAAAGGATCAGCAATAAAATCACCAACATTAATAATGAAAATGTCATCTTTAAATTTCAGAGATAAATATCAAAGAGATGAACTGGGTAGTTCACCCCTATGCAACCTTTTCTTTCAGCCTATGAAAACACACAGATCACTGCATTAGTGATACTCAAGTCATATTTTCAGGGTTTCACAGCAAAACAAAAGGTCAGAAATACAATTTTTCAAAGCATTCTAGAACATAATTTGTCCATATATTCCATTACAGCACTATCACAAATTACTGTGGGCCGTGGATAATATGGGTTCCTCAAGACTACACTCGACCTGCCAACTGGTCTGCATCCATGAAAAATGGATTTGGGTCCTCATTTGCTGAGAACTTAACAGCACATAAACCTGTTTGAACTAAGTAGCCATTAGGGAACAATGAAGATTTGATTCTGTAAGTCTCTGATTTTCCTTTGGGAACTTTCACCTCTACTGATTGACTTCACTATGCAGCTGACTCACAAGTCTCAGCTATGTCTTTCTGAACTCAGGGGCTTTTCTGCAACAGTGAAGAAAAATGTAAAGAATGTTCCAGCCCTATATTACAGGCCAAGCTTAAACAACAGAGTATCTTGAGCCAAAGCCTAGAGCAAAGAGGAGCCATTTTAGCCAAGGTGCTTTTTTCCCCCCCAGCCACATTTTTAGGAATCTTCCTCTTCCAACTCTATGAAACTCAGCCTTTGCTCCCTTCTGTTTAGCCTTTTTTAAACCCAGGAAGAATAAATTCCCTGCACAGCTGAACCCAGATTGTTACCTAGGATCCACTACATGCAGAGGAGTCAGCTGTTTCTTCTTGCTGGGAAAGTTTTTTCCCCACCAGTTCTTGAAAAAGATTAAAGCATCCCAGCATGCCCACCCCCACTTTCCTGGTCTTTGGCACCGGCACTCACCTGTGGAATTTGTCCCTGGCTCACGGGATGCAGCACTGTGAAGGCTGTTCTGGAATCCATTCAGTTTCTTTTCAGTGGAGGTCACCCTAAGAGGTAAAAGCATCAAATCAGACAGTGATAAGAAGTGATATATCAAGGAGGAATGAAACTCAAACAAAAAATTGAGAATTCTCCCAGTTTACATCATCTCACTGGGATTGTAACTATGAAGCTGTGTCTGAACACGGTATGAAAAAGGCAGAGACAGCAACTGAATCCAAAAAGATAGAGCAAGACAGATGAACACTCAAGCCACTAGCAAGACTTCCATGTGATTAAAACACTTAATTGTCTCATGTGCCTTGGAAGCTGATTCTGGAGAATAAAGAACATAGTAAAAGGTACCACCAAGGTACTACTTGTAATTACAACAAGTAATGCTGTGGTCATCTTATTCCAGTGATTTGAACTAAAGTGATTAACCAACCTTCAAGCAGAAATGCATATGCTGTCAAAAACACGCTAAATTCAAAGTTAAGTCCTTGCATCTTGCCTCAGCAGAGAGAACTCATCTAGGCAAGGTTTCTTACTTATCTTGGAAACTGGGACCCCTGGGATCCATACAATTTCCAGTAGTCCAATGCTATTCCTCAAGCATTCCTCAATGCAAATCCTCCTGCATTGATCTTAGCATCTGACTTACAGCAAAAGTATATCCTGTGGGCTACAACTGCACTTCCTTTAACTTACAAAGATTCGTTACCAAATTGAGACCACGTCTTCCTACATAAAAATTGGGTCTACTCAAAAAGGAAGGGTAAGCTATACAGCTGCAAGGATCTATTCCGTCCTTATAATCTATACAATATTCACCTATTCCTGGTTTGTCCTCTCCTCCCTTATTCCTCCTTGCCTTTCTTTCTTCCTGCCCAACTCAGTTCTGATCACTGCAAACTTCTGCGCGTACACTCATTTCTACCAGAGTCCTTCTCCTTCACTCCTTCAGCTCTGCAGTGTTACAGTTACTGTCAGCTCTTCCCCAAGAAAGCACTGTAATCTCCAATCCCCATGTGATGCCCTGACAACTAACAGACCCAGACACACCTGTGCAGTTTCTATGGTTTTATCTGAAACCTTTTGTTTCCAGATTTCAAGGTCAGCAAGTAATCCAGGTGTTCCTGACAGCTAAAAGGCCTGTGAGGGACTCCTATATTTTATCACAGCAGGATTTCAGTGAAACAAATTGGAGTCCATACAGGAAGGGGGAGGATGCAGATACATTTGTGTAACACAACCCCTTACTTCAGTCAGCCTTAATTGCAAATGCTATTGTGAAATGAAGGGCCTGTTTCTATGTTTATTGTCTCTTGGAGAGAAGTTTGGATCTGTATGTATCATGTCTTTTGCGCTGATACTGCATGGTCCTTGTAGGAGCTAAGAATCCAGATGGATCTTTATCCTTCTTACATAGAGATTCCATGCATATAATTAGCTAGTCCACTTTGTTAACACAGCACAACTGACAGTCAAATTCAGCTCACCCTTCTGTAGGTAGAATGCAAGACTAGTGGTTGAAAATGTCATCAAGAATGCCAGCAAGTATAACAACAAAAAAGCAAAACAGAACAGTCACACTTCTACCTTAAAGTGTGGTTTATGTTCTCTCTACAGACTTGCCCTTCTTCTCTGCCGAGTCACAATGTACCTTGATTCTTGCAGTTTCAACTGCCACCTCCAGACAGCTCATTCTCAGCATTGCTCCTGGGATCTCATCCCTCACATTCTCTGTTGTGTCCTGATGGAAGCTTCAGTGGCAGAACATATTCACCACTTAAACTGACTTAATCCCTTTCCACTTTCTTCCTCCTCGGGTTGGCTGAAATCCAACTGCCTTTCTCAGTTTCCTGCTTTTTAATGTCTGTGTTGTTTTTGCTTCCAGTTCTCCAATTGTTATATTCTCCATTTCTCCTTCTTCAATACTAACAAAAGCACTCTCCCCACTTTCCTCTCCATTTAAATATCTGTCACTGCCCTTTTCTGTCTCTTATACAGCTAACCCCTCCTTGATACTAAAAAAGTTCCTTCATTTAGGCACTAGACCAGCCCTAAGCTGCTCAACCTTGAACTGCAAATTTGTTCCACAAGTGACAGAGAAATACTTTTTTGACTAAATTTTGAAGACGTTTGTTTTAACAATCTATTCCTGGGATGTTCTGAACACATTTAAAGATCCAGTGGAACCAGACAGAATTGACACTAACATATTCATATCACAAAAAGCCCAGGTTTAACAAGAGGATAGCAACAGATGTAAAGTCCCAGGGCAAGGGAGTCTTGTTCCTCTTTGTTGTTCTTGGACAAGGTATCCCTGCATGTGTATCTGTGTGTATGATCTGAGGCTAGCCAAGGGCTATGAGCTACAGGTCTAGTAAGCCCAGCTGTGTCAGGGTGTTAAATCAAGGCATGTCTCTCAGATGCACTGCTTTTGCTGCCAAAAATGTCTAAGGGTCAGGCAGCCTGATTAACCCAGCTACTCAGGAGCTGAAAAAACAAGCGTGCCGCAGTACAGCAGTAGCAAAAGGTAAAAAGGTTCCAGTAACAGTTACATGCTTGTTCTCCCGCTGCCTGTCCTCTTTTCAGTGGCACTCCTTTTACATATGTGATGTACCTGGCTCACTTAAGACACTTCACGCATGCCTGTGAATGAGCACGCATGGGCAAGACAGGATATAAACCAGAACCATAGTATTTTACAGGGCTTACTCTGTGACCATCATCTACTTTTGGCACATTTGCTAGGCTTGGCCAGCCTGTCCTAGAAAAGCTGGCTACTGCTGTGTCCAATTGCAATCAGGACTCTTCCCTGCCCTGGGATGGACTTCCTGAACCCTGGAGAAATGCATCCCCTCTACCCTATTTCTGTACTAGTTACAATATAGGAGAACTTTGGCTCTTCTACTGCTGGCACAGTGGAAAACAATTATACAAGGGAGAACAAGGCAGAAAGATTTTTGTGCTGTGGTGTTGGGACTTGAAGGGAATATTTGTTTCAAAAGGCTTCCTGAATAGAGTTATGAATGACATTTAGAGCAATGTTCAGCACAAGAAATTATGCCACACTGATCAATATCCCCAACAGTTCGTGATGTTTCAGCCTACTGCTGATAAACTTGGTGACCTTCTTGGTCTCTCTTTCCCTGATAACATCTTGAACTATATGCTCCTTTTCTCTACCTAGCATTTCCTCTTTTTATATACAGTGGTGTAAAATTGACAGATAAATTTTTATGACATCTTGTCTTTGACTAATAGTTCTGCTCACAGCTTCTTCAAAGCCTCGCTCTACCTGATGCTGTCACAGTCAGAGAGCAGATTTCTGAAAAGTTACTAGTGCAGAAATCTGTATTTACTATGACTTAGTCATTCTAAAAGCAGAAAGATTTTTTGTCTACCATCTGTACCAGTTCACTCTGGGTTCTGACAGTTGAGCTAATATATTTTTCTATTTTGCATGCTGTCATTAGTAATATGAAGATTCCATACATCAGATGCTGCTTCCAGGAACATCTGCTTCATTCCATGGCTTATGAATACTATATCTATGATCTGTCCCAAAATGTTGCTCTCAGCTATCAGCAGTCTCTTCACGGTTCACAGACCTGCCAATAGTAGTGGCAACTTGAGCAGTGGGGAAAGGTCACAGCCTGGCTCTTGGAAAGAAAGAAGAGCTTATTGTGCTAGCTGTCCAAAAACTGTCTTTCTACTTGTGATATGAGGACATTTAATCAAAACCATGGAGCCCCATGAGACCATTTTATGGGACTGCATTTCAGCATAGAGCTGCATATTTAAACCATTTCTCCCAGTTAGTCCTTTTTCTGCACCTTATTATGGGTCCCAGTTTTCCACTCTGTTAGTTTAAGCAAGGAGTCTGCTTTGGACACAATCCATTATAAAGTCCACCTACCACCTTTTACAAGTTGAGAGACTAAGAAAACAAGAGAGGCCAGGAACTAAAAAGACAAGATGGAATTGTCTGGCTGTTCCATTACTTTTTTCCTTTATGTTTCAACCAGGGAAGTGTCCAAGTTACTAGACAGTTTTTGAATTAGTCAGTAATGTTCATCTTTAGCATCTCATTCTGTTTATAGTTGCGTTTTCTACTTCTTATTTCTTCCTCTTCTGGAAGCCATGTGTGCTGGCTGGGAGAGAATTGATAACGCATGCAAGTAGGAGATAGGTCAAAGAGACAAAGTTGATTTTAGTTTGTCTTCACAGTCCAGCCTCTGGAGAAATTCTACAAACAACTTTAAAAAGATGATCTTTATTAAGATGTTAAACAAAAGCCAGGCAATGCGAGAGCAGACACAAATAAGGTCTAACTTACTGAAATATACGGGGGGAAAAGAAGAGATGCGAGAGCTTTAACAATAGAATGGGATTAGTTTCAGTGAGTCTTGTGGAAATAATACATAGCACTAAGATGCTCTTTCAGGAAAGAGATCAGGAAAATAGCCAAGAATTATCAGGGGGTGAGAGAGGGCAGCAAATGAAAAGTGACCAGACAGACAAATGAAGCAGCCAAAAAGATGTTACGGAAAGGGATATTTGCTATGTCATAACCTTAGGATATGGCAGTCCCACACTGGAAAAGTACAATTCTGAGTGCCACAATACAAACACTCTGATAAACTGAAGAAAATACAGTACATTTAAGACAACTAAGGACTTGGCAGGTGGAACTACTACCTGAGGTGAACAAAACCTCAACAAGTCTAAGCAACATTAGGTTACTCCAAGAAGTAGAAGGATATTCAAAAGATGGAGAGTATTCATAAGGGAAAGTGTTCAGGGTGGTTCACGAAGGAGGAACAAGGTACAACAGCATGAAACAAAGGAAAAATTCAGAGAGCACATCAGGAGAAACTAGCTGATAATAAGCTTGTCTAGATTCTTAAATAGGCTGTTATAGCACACAGTGGAGTTTCTACCACTGGACTTTTTTGAAAGTAGACTACACATGGTGTCCAAGAATACTTTGTACAAAATAATCAGGGACTGCAGAAAACAGGTTGGAGCATGCAAGACATCTTTTTCTTCTCTAATCTATATTCCTTTGACACAGAGGCTTCTCTCCATTCACCCCCCGATGATGCATATCTGGTCTTTTCCTGACAACAATGAATGGATTAAACTAGCCTGAGACATAGCAGCTTTTAAACGATCAGCTGGAAATATATGTTGGAAATATAGCTGGGCACTGCTGTATTCCATGTAAGTGAAAAAATGTTACTGCAAGATCCCATGAATGGCAAGAATGAGTTTGGAGCCTTGTGTTGGAGACTGAAAGGCAACTTGGAAAGTATTTCCGGAGTGGCTCCTTGCAGCCTTCGATACTTGGATTAGTTTTCTGAAATTCTGAAGGAATCTTTTGCTTTTTTTCTCCCTTCTGTGCATTTTTGGTGTTGAACTTTTTCCGGTTTTCCCACACTCCTGCCTGTCACAGAGCAGAAACCACAAAAATGCAGCAAAGTAAAGTCTGTCCAAGGAGCTGCAATTCCATCTCACAAGGATAAACATTTCCTCTGCCAAGAAGTGAGCACAGCACACCGGCATCTTCAAATACACATCCCAGCTGCCCAGCAGAGAAACCCACTGACATAGTCTGTCACCTGTACTAACATGAGCTACCCAACATAAAAGAAATCAGATAGCAAACCTACCAGCATATACCTGCCAGACCTGATGATCACATCATTTGCTGAGTTGACAAAGTTCATTAACGCCTTGTTTTCCTTTTAAATAGATTTGGGGGATTAATTCAGTGTGCTATCTCCTAAAATGGCAAGAGTACAGGCAGGAAATACAAGAACTTCCTCAAAGCTGTTCGGTTCAAGTTCCTTAAATATGCTTTGCTATTTCAAATTTGATCCACACACACTGACTGTGCCCTAGCATCTTCATAAGGTGTCTTTCATTAGTAATCTTTTACTAAGTAAAACTTCTCTCTTTAAACAGGAAGGGAACTGAGATTCAGGAAACCTCACAGGAACTTGCTCTGAAAGCTTTACAACTCTGCTGGCTGTAGAGTAAGTACAAGGGAGGAAGTTATGAATGCAATTTTTTACAATGAAATAAGTCTGAGGATAGATGAGGAAGAATCTAATGAAGGACTTAGTCTAAAGCAATTCTGTCATTTAAGGGGAGATAAACAAAGAATTGAGGAAGCTGAAAACCCAGAAGTCTTGCTCACATTTTCTCATAATGCACAAAAGAGAAGACACAAAGAAATGGAAAGGAAGAAAACTTACAGTCAATTAGCAACATTTCATGGGGAATATTTTTGTTTGTTTTTAAAGATAACACATGCCAAATCCATCCATCTAACTTAGAACAGCAAGCACTATATAACTAAAAGCTTACTAAAAGTTAAAAGAAGGATTTCTACAGATAATGAGGAAAGCTATCATTACATCAGGCACAATATAAACACTTTAAATGAAATAAACACTTGTGCTTGAAGACCTAAGTCAAACATTGTACGTTACATTTATGGGAAAACTTGGTTCAAGGGTAGATTAGCTTGTTAAAGATATTGGATTGCTTTGTTATTTTGTTTTGAAGGTTTTTTTGGTACCCTCTTCTGACACATCAGATTCTAGCCCCCATCAAAGATTAAACATGGAGCAACTCAAGCGCCTAAACACAGATGTCTAGTACCACACTTCATACTCTAAAGCTATTTGAGACATCTGCATGAGACTGGCAGATGCAACACAAGATCTACAGAAGACCTGTACTCATCTGGAACAGCAGCTGGAGGTCAGCTGGAATAGCCCTAGGCATCTAGAATGTCACTAGCAACCTGTATTTAGGTTACTGAGTCCTACCCTGGAATCAGTCTGGAAGTTCCTATGTTCTTATGTTTGTATTACAGTTTTACCTTCCTTACCATTGTGAAATACAAAACTGCAACATAATGCACAAGGATTTCAGTACACACACCTCAAGAGAGATCTATCTCGGACAGCACAGCAGACATCAGTCAAAGTCAGATGGAGACAGGTTCTTCTCCGATATTTATTTTTGGGAAACCAGTGCCAACTCCCTATTGTGGATGGAAGAGATAAAACTTACTTGGAAATCCTCTGGGCTGCAGCCTTTCTGATCACTGCCTGTCTGTGGTTTGTTGGAGGCTTTGGAACCAGCTGAGGATGTGTACTCTGGGATGGCATCACTTTGTGCAAACTGGCTGCCTTTTGGATACTACAAGTGGCACTTGATGTCTTGTGGGCATCAGAGCCAGCTGGCATAGACATATGGCTGGTGCTGGATTGTGAGTAGTTGGCAAAGAGAGCCTGGGTAAAAAAACAAAACAAAACAAAACATAGTAATTGGTGATTACCTCTGTGAACATTGCTGAGAATGCTGATGGAGGTGGGTGACATTTTTGTGGGGGATAATATCTGTCTGGTGAAGGCATGGGACTCTCCCAGGGCTCCAGTGAGAGTCCCATGCATGAAAAGAAGAGTTAAGTGGTCAAATCAGTAAAGTAGTTTTTAGAGCTGAATTTTATGCCTTTGGAAGCTGGGACTACCTTCTAGGAAGGCAGACAACCTCATTACTGCCACAGAATTATATTATTCTGGATTAAAAAACATGAGGTCCAATCCTCAATCTAACTTTGCACTGGGCTTCCACCCACAAAGAAGTAAAGCTTTCATTGTGTTGACTGACTTTCTGTGTTTATCTTCCTAAATTACTCTTTATGTGGGAGGTGGGACTGAGATACAATTCTAGGAAAGAAAAAGGTTATAGGGTAGATGTTACAATGTCAGTTATTTGGTCTAACCCTATACTTCGAACAACAGAAAGGCTCTAGAGTACTTTCTTCTGAAAAAGGGATTTTAGATCCACTTCTGACAAAAAAAGAAATCTCCAGTAATATCAGGGGACAAAAAATATTTCTATTCTATAGCACATGGGAGAGTAATGTTGGAGATTTGACACAGGAAACAAAAGAACTTGCATGTTATGACACACTGGAGAACTGAGCTGTGGACTGGCAAAGCAGGGAGTGGAGAATGTTTCCCTACGGCAGCTCTGCAGACTGCTAAACTCTCTTCAGAAAGGAGCAACCTGCTGGGAGTTCTGCCTTGTCTTTCCTCGAAGTCAGTCAGATTCCCAGCACAGAGGCAATACCATAACCTTGTAGTTTGGCGGCTAGAGGTCAGCGATAGGAGATGAGGGGAATAGCTGAGCCCTGGCCAGTTACCTCAGTGTGACCCTGGGAGCAGTGCCCTTCACTGAGTTTGTGCTCAGTTTCTTCTCTGGTGGAAAATACACAAAGCCACAGCGAGTGGGCTCCAGGCTCCAGCGAAAACCACAGTCTGAGAGCTGGCTGAGTCTCAGCACACAGACAGGAAAAGCCCCTCTCCCCCGCAATTCTCTGGCAAATGGCAGGGTAGTGGAGTGTGGGAAGGTGTTTCTGACAGGCAGAGCTCTAGGGAGAAAAGGAAGTGCAGAAGCCAAAACAGGCCTGTTTCCTAACTAGAGCTCACTGACAAGATGCCCTTGGGCTCAACCTTCCTTAACCTCTCCCTTCCCTGAAGCTCTACCTTGACTGCAGCTTTCAGATTTCGAATTAAGTAGCTAGTACTTAATGCAGAACTTAAGTAGCTAGTACTTAGTGCAGAAGTCTGGAAAATAGCAGTCACACCCCACTTCCCCCCAGCAAAATAAACTAAAATGGAACTTGGTTTACTCTTGCATCTCAGAGCCTGACACATCATGAGGTTGGGATGGAAACCCTCAAGTCACTGCTCCCACTTCTTCCTCAGGGGTGACATCTCACTGTGCTGTTTGGTATTATGCATCTTCCCTGTAAGTTCTTTTTCTTTAACGTTATTAAAATCACTAAGATCCTGGAGTCAACAAAGTATACAGTCATAACCCCTTCCCTGCGTTAATATGCAGTGGCAAGGAGATCCATGACTCTGAAGAAATAGCAAGTATGGATGCTCTAACAAAGTCTGATCAGCAAAAGCTGGGCTCAAATCTGCCTTAAGAAAGGTCATGGATGTTTTTCACGGGGTAACAGACTTCCAAAAAGGCCTTTGTCTCTACACTGTCCCGAGATTCTGGCTGTCTTCCAGGCAAGGATGGGGAGACTGGAAGCTGACATGGACCATGGCTTCTGGATTCAGCTACAAAGTATACTGCCCTGCTGTGAACTCCATGGGGACAGGACAGGAAATCAGGAGAAGCTACTGTGCAAATAAAGAGGGTAGCTGGGGAGAGCAGAGCCTGGCCACACAAAGGAAGGGTTGGGAAGAGAATTCAGCACATCCAAAAAATAGGAGACAAACCTCATTACTCAGGATTCTGAAGGCTAAGGGTCTAGGGAGAGCAGAAGCCTAGCCTAGCCTAGCCCTGACAGACGCAGTCCTGAAGCAGGCAGCACTCTACAGCTATTGCTGCTGCAAGTAAAATCTTTCAATCACATGTTGCAAGCTGGCAGATTTAACTTGATGTCACGGACACATTCACTACCCTAACAAGTTCTTAGGGCTGCAAATCTGAAAAATAGTAAGAAACCTATGATACTTTTTAGCTAAAAATCCTCTAAAGCATTAGTGAGTTAATTCTCTTGCACAATTCATCGGGGAGGTAGGACAGCATTAACCCTGTCTTGCCCATGAAGAATGTTAGCACTGACAGAGAAAGTGCTTTTCCCTAACCCACAGACTGAGCAATATGAAAAGCTAGGTTGAAATGTTTGAAAAGCTGTGAAAAGATCCTAACTTCCAATACCATATTTGCCTCGTTAGACCACACCTCTCCTTGCTTCCACATCTACACATGGATACCATACACAAAGTGTTAGCTGTACAAAAAAGAGTAGTTTCTAATTAGAAAATCTCAACATGTAGAGCTTGTCAGTAAGGAAGATGCACATCTAAGAGTATTAGCCAGCAGCAGCTAAGCTTGGGCTGTTAGTGATTAAAAGCAGAAAGGTACTGTAGTACTTTGAAGAAAAGCAGATATATTAATGATCTTCAAAAACAGAAAGAATGTTCCTGGCACTTACTATTCCTGTATCTAACACCCATCCCTAGCGCAGTAATGGAGCAAATGTTGCAAGCAAAAACATGTTCACTGTGTGACCAGAGGAGGTAATGAAGCCCATTTCCTGAGAATCTGTCTTACAGTATCTAATACAAAGCATACCCCAAATTATGCCTCCCTTCATGGGTCTGGGGCATTCTTGTGTTGATTTTGTGCTGTCTAATTAGGAATGGTCTCATGCTGCAGCCTTTGCCTTAATGGGAACAGTAGTTTAATCCCCTTCCCAGATATACAGCTCTTTATTTTAATGAAATTTGTATGAAACATAGCTTTGAGATTTCTATCCCATAGTCATTCACTTTCAATTGGATCAGCAAGTCTGAAAAAAACAAGACTCAGCAGTGTATGAGAACTGAGAGACAGATGCTAACACACATGTACTGCATAAAGATACATGCAGCTAGTTCCAAATCACTGGTGCTGGAAACTGAGATGTTTATAAGCAATAAACAATAAAAAGGATTTAAGTTAAAAAAAGAAAAGTAAAGTAAACCCAACAAAATAAACCCCACCACTTTTAGAAAAGCAATTGTGTTTCAGATAACATTGCAAAAATACAGAGAATTAACAGGCTTGGAAGACCTTTCCAGTCATACAAATGGTTTAGTGAAAATTCTTTTGAATACATATTAATGCATTCAGTTAAATCAGTTTGAATGGAACAATCAGTGGAGTTGAAAATTCACAGAGTGACGATAAAGAACAGACTTGAAATGTACTATTAACTACCATTGTGTTAAACTGCAGTAAGAGGAGCATCTTGGGGTCATTAGGAAATTTAAAGAAGAGCAAACTCAAGGTATGCATAGACTGTCCTGATGCATGTCCTCCTTAGTAAATTCTTCAGAGCAAGGATAAAATACACTAAAATCAATTGACTTGGTGCCTTCTCCTTTATCTCTCTCTTGGTACTGATAGCTCTCTGGGGCAAGGATTGGGCTATATCATTGTATTGGAAAGACAGTTAATACATCTGGGCATTACCATAATTCTAATAATAGTGACAGGATCAGAAACATGGAGACAAAATTTCAGCTAGTATAAATCAGCACAGACTACTGCTTTTAGGATGGTTGTTCTGTTTTACTTAGCCTGAGACTTTGACTCATCAGCATCACAAGACTCAAACAGGAAAAATGGCAGTTAGCACATTTAGTGGGAAAACAATCTGAGGGAGAAAGCTGCAAAACAAGAATGAACATGAAATTGAAGGGAAAGAGATACTGCAAATCTGACAGCAGTTTAATATATAACAGCTTAGAAAACCGTTTCATGATGTTTAAGGCAGCATTCAAAGAAGCCCTGTGTCTTCAAACAGGAATAATGTAGTTCTAGGAATACTAGGAATATTATTCTGAGTACTCAGCATTCCCAGTTGGATCTAAATAAACTCTAAGGATTTCAGAAGAGAGTCACAAACATCAAAAGAAAAAAATTTGCTCAACTCCATAAAACGAGGAATATTTCAGAGAACATACTATTTTTAAATGACAGAGCAGAATTATTTAAGATTAATTTAGCCCAATGTTCTACAGCATAAAATCTACTTAAACTTCTCATTGAAAATGTAGTCACATAACTGCCCACACAACTGACTAACATGATTCATGTCTTGTTTAGCATAAGCCTTTTTGATGTAAGTAGGACTGATGGGGATCATTCCACCATATGATTGTACTTTTCTTGTTTTAATTTAGCTTTTTTCCCATGTGAAATGTTTGGCATAAAATTCTAAACCCAGTAGATGCTAGGCTAAGCAGACAGAACATAGCCACACAGAAAAAGGAAACTCCCTCACAGCTAATGGCATCCTTCCAGTACAGGAAACAATTAGAGAGTAAACAATGAGGGTGTATTAACTGTCTTGCCAACTGCAGTGGTGATACTAACATCTAGGTCATAACATGTCACATGAAGTCTCCTTTAAACATTAAAAATACTGCTATAAGCCTGTTTTTCTTGTCGTTTGGTTTGATTTTGTAATTCTTTTTCCTTGATTTTACTGATATCCAATTTAAGCTTCTTGTCTTCACGTTCAAACTCTTCCCCTTTCTATTTTCTTCTCTTTTCTCAGAGTGTCTACTGTCTCTGTTTCTGGTCCATGTCACTCTACCTATTTGTCAGATTCTCATCTGGTCAGTTTGGTGTTTTTCTTTTTGTCTAGTGAATGAAGTACCTATTCTGTCATCAAAGGTCTATTTCAACTGTACTACACTGCATGAACTAACTTCCCCATACAATGAGTGAAAACTGTTGGTTGTTATTCCTCTTCTTCCACCTACACAGTATCTGCTACTCCGCAAATTGTTAAATGCCTGGAGAAATCATCATCATTCTTAAGTGTCTGGAAAGTGGTCAACCAAGAGTGGTTGCTGGAACAAAGAAGTACACAACAAGCCTTCATGATAAGATATATCCACTGCATGGTAGATGGGGCTATTTGTATTACACAAATACTTGACTAGAAAAGCCTGTGCTTTCTAATGCATCCATCTCACCTCCAGCATATTGAATTGGTTAATGTACAAGAGGAAGCATTTGCCTGTATTATTAATCATGGTGCTTCTGTTATTTGTTCATATATATATACAGTCATACATATGACTAGTCCCTTTGTCACAGACAGAAGGAAAGAATGGCATCTACTCATGTTGCATGGTCATGTCACACTCAGGGTGTGCCTCAAGATACATTAATTAATGGATGTACTTCAGCGACTGACAAATGGCTATCTTGCCTTCTAACCATAACAAGAACTTCAACAATCAGATGAAGCAGGCTCGGAGATACCTTGGATGCATTTCCCAAAGCAGAGATCATGACACTTTTTCAAGTGATAGGCCTTTCCATCTTGGGGGATATATTTCTTCTGTTGAGAGGAGGCTGATGAACTTGAATACAGCAGGCAAGACAACAAGGATGAAATAGATCTCAATACATGGGAAGGAACAGAAGGGAAACAGCAGGCAATGGGAAGTAGGTAGCTTAGGTGACACTGACTAGGAAATGTGTAAAGCCATGCAGCCTAGGATAAGCTACATCAACTGTGGCTAAAAAGAGAGGACAAATGAGGGTCAGCGTGAATGGTGGGGCAGAAGTCAAAGCAGCCTGGGTGGGAAGATGTAGGGCAGGGAACATATAAGCAGCAGAAAAGAGAAGGTAGTTCTTGGAAAAGCCAAGTCAAAGGACTGAAATCTGAGAACTTAAGTCAACAAAGTAAAAGGTCAGTGATAGGAAGATAGAGAGGGTGCAGGTGATAGATGAAGATGAGGATAGTGCCGTGACTGGAAGGGGCATCAGAGGATCAATACAACTGTGACTGGAAGAGGAGGGCTGGCTGGCTGGCTCCATACAATGTCAACTGGGAGAGGAAGCGTCCAAGAGACAATCATTTTATCAAGATGTGGTTTTCCTGACAGAAAGTCTGAAAGCCCCCAAGTTCAGCAAATACCTTTTTTCATTAATGGCAAATTCAGTGCAGCCTGAGCCCTTGAGCATGGCAATGGCCTCTCCAAACTGCTTGGCTCTGAAGGAGAAGGGAGGGACAGAAAGGAGGGGGACGCTGTGGGTGTAAGAGGAGGTTTAACAAAGAATTACTTTAACAGAAACTCCTGAGTAATGGCTCAGCCCTGGCCAAGAATAACATCAGCTCAATGTCAGCAATTAGAAAAGGGCTCAGCCAGGTCCCATGGCCAGCTCCAGCCTCTTCACAGGCACAAGCCATTTTACAGCCCTTTCCTGAGCTCATGAGCAGCCACAAGTGCCCACCCATGGATTAAGTCGAATGGAAGACCTCCTGGCTTGAAGGAGGAACAAGAAGATTGTAGGTGAGGAAAGCTGAGGTGGAAACTGCATGGCTAAGTAAGAGCCTTAAAAGAAGGAGTGCAAGGGGCAAAAGCAGAAGGGCCTCTCCTTCAAGATGCTCCCAGAAAAGGATGAGGGCAATTTGCCTATAACCTTTCTCAAAGACCGTGACTAATGATGCACCTGCTTCACAGGAGGGAGGGTGGGTGTTTGGACCTCCATGTGTTAACTCTGTTCACAGGAGTCCAGTCATACCAGACTACCCAGAAAACAGCTCCTTACTAAGGGAGACCAAACTCTTTTGAGTGAAGGTTTGTTCACCCAAAGACTTCCTTCACTTTAGCAGGGAAGCCTTTTGGACATCACTCAGAATATATCTCTCTCTCCATAATAACAAAGTAAGGTAACAAGTGTATCAATGAAGTCACTGTAACCTTGGAAGATTCCACAGGAAGGATGGAAATGCTGTTCAAAACACAGTGGTCCACCTTTGGCATCTAGGTGTCATCCAGAACATCATTAATACAAGCTCTTAAGATGCTAATGCAACTGAAGAAGCTATTGGGAACTACAGCATCAAAATGCTATTAAAATCACTGCAGGTAATATTAATTTCTTTGAAACACACTTTAAAAGCTACTTTCTTCACGAAAGTTGTGCCACATGTACTGTCTCTGGGTTTGTTCAGCACTGTTACATCCCAGGCAGGATTTTTTCTTAGTTACCTGTTGCCGTGCTTGGTTTTGCTCTAACAATTGTCGTGATTGAAGTTTCTGCTGCTGAAGCTGCTGCACAGCAAAATGAAGCTGATAGTTGGGATGTGCCAGTGGACTCTCTGTCACCCTGTTGTAGACACTGTTCTCCATCTCTCCGTCACAGGCAAAATGATGGTTCTCTGGAGCCCTGAGAAAAGAAGAGCCATCATGTTTTCACCACTCTCCATATAAGGACTCCCGCCTATAAGGCACTGCTGCTTCAAAAAAATCCCTTAATACTTAGCCAGCTATGAATTTGCAGTAAGTGGCTTTAGCAAGCACAACACCTGCTAGAGGTGCCATGTGCCAAGTGCAGTCTTGCTAAACACTTTAATGAATTCCAGTCTGGGACTATTTTACTGGACATTCTCTTGAAGAGAACCAAGAAAAAGAGAGTAAGAACTCTAAACTGGAGCATTTCTGTGGCTGATTAGCATTGATGAGAGGCAGAGTTGCAGCAGGAAAAGAGCTAAGGATTCCCATCACTAATGAGACCATTATTGATTTGGATTTGTAGATATTTTAATATACTAACACAAGGCTTACACTAAGCACACACATGCTGCAGTGAGAGTGGAATAGAAGAAAGACATGCAGTACAATATCCACAGAGGATAAATGACTGGCTGAGTGAGGTTGCAACTAGGATACATATTGACTCCATACAGTTACAATCCAAAAGACATGGGATGAGTTAAGATAGGTTCATTTCTTTCATCATCAGACTAATGCAAGCCTTCCCTGGAGGACAAAAGGTCTCCTGCAAAGAGACAGGAGCTCTTACAACCCAGGCTTACACGGTGGGAGTTCAGCTGTGGCCTGCAACATGATAAATACCAAAAGGAGCTCACTGGCTTGCTTTGAAGTTTGTAAGCCTTGGTGAGAAGGCAGCAGCAACACACAAGGCCGAGGGGCTTTGCAGAGAGCAGGTGGCCGACTGACAGGACCACAAGGTGTCCCGAAGAGGCTACAATGGCCCAGCAACTCACACATTCTGTGCTCACAAGACAGGATGCCATATGACCTACTGAATCCTGACACTCTGGCTAATAAAACCCTCAATCCTTAATGCCTGAGCTTCCCAAATTTCTGTTATCTCTGTCATTCATCTCTCAGCCACTCCTTCCAAGTATTTCCTTTGGATTCTCAGGGCAGACTTCCCTTATATTTCCTATCCTCATCATAAATAACTAGGATGTAAAAGATAATTGGTGTCTTTTATGCCACAATTTGGAGTGTAGGTCATGGTTTTGGCAAGGAAGTTAACTGCAATTTCTTTGCTTCAGGATCCTATTAAAACTTACAACCTACATTCTGTGAACATGTCACAGCTTCCCTTAAATCTGTTGCTCCTTCCTCCACAAATTTTTTCATCACTGCAAACCCTTAAAATATTCAGAAGAATGTTTCAAACAAGACCAGAGACAACTGCCAGCCCTACTTACTCTTCCTCAAAAATAACCTTTCAAAGTAAACTGAGGACAAGGACTCCAAACACTAAAGGGTCACTCTCCATACTCAGCTCCTCAGCAACAGAAGAGTATGATAATTCAGGAGAAAAGGAGTTCAGCAGCATCTTCACCTTCCACCCTCTGGACCTCCCCCCTGCTTAGAGCACCACTGCTACTTTTGCTCTTACAGGCCATGAGCTGTAGGTAGCTTTCTCTAGACTTACCTGTTCAAGGGATCCCACCTATGTTTCTTCATTCCTTTGCTTGCACTGTACCCCAATGCAGCACTGGATAAATGACTCTTGCTCCCTGCTACCTTTTGCTAGAAGATTCTCAGTCCTTCAGTTCTTTTCCTTTCACCAGTACTTGGAAAACTGACAACTGTAATGTTGCTGACAGTACCGAGGACTTGAAACCCAAGGTCTGAAGCTGGCTTTGTGGTTAACCTTGGAAGAGCTGCTTCCCTCTTCTGAACCCGCCTTCCTCTCTTCTGCCCCAGTAATGAAGTCATGATCCTCTCTCTCCTACTGTGATTCTACCTGCAGTTGCTCAGCTCTGGATCCATGGGATGTGTGTGTGGTGCTGGCGCCCCAACACTGTTGCCTACTAGGCACAGGATGCCACAAAATGCACAACTTTAAAGGAGGACAGGACAAGGAACAAAGAATCTTTGAAATGATCCCCAGCTGTCTCCTCCCCAATCCCACTAGCTCACCTGCTGGGTTATCAGCAGGTTGCTGTCACCTGGACTCATCCCAAGGGTCATATCTGCTCCTTCCACTGCATAGATACGGACTCCACCATCCACCCTGATGTTAAAGCTCATTGGACTTTACCCTTATGTGAAGCAGCTGGACTCTCTGTTATCCTTCCAGTAAAGCCAGGTCACGCTGACAGGTGAAACGCACAAAGGACTGTGCTCAGACTGGGATGCAGTCTTTGGGAGATGGTTGGGGATTACTGCAGAGCCAATGCCAGCCGGCTTCAGGATGGACCCACTGCTGGCTAAGGCTGAGCCAGTCAGGAATGATAGTAACATATTTAAGAAGGAGAAAAAAGTTATTGTGCAGATGAAAATTGCAGCTAGAGAAGAGTGGAGTGAGAACATGTGAACAACAATGCAGACACCAAGGTCAGTGGAGAAGGAGGGGGAGGAGGTGCTCCAGGCACCAGAGCTGAGGTTCCCCTGCAGCCCATGGTGCAGACCATGGTGAAGCAGCTGTGGCCCTGCAGCCCATGGAGGATCATGGAGGTGCAGAGATTGCCCTGCAGCCCATGGAGGATCATGGAGGTGCAGAGATTGCCCTGCAGCCCATGGACAAGACCCATGCCGAAACAAGGGCCTGGCAGAGACCTGCTGACCCATGGAGAAAGGAGCCCACGTTTGAGGAGGTTTTCCTGGTGTGACTTGGGGCCCTGGGGGGGAATCCACACTAGAGCAGCCTGTGCCTGAAGGACTGCACCCCATGGAAAAGTGACCCACGTTGCAGCGGTTTCTGAAGAACTGTTGCCTGTGGGATGGACTCATATTGGAGAAGTTCGTGAAGGACTGTCTCCCTGGGAGGGACCCCACAGGAGCAGGGGAAGGACTCCTCTCTCTGAGCAGTGGCAGAAACAACAACTGCCCATAACCCTCATTCCCTGTCTCCCCGCACTGCTGGGGGAGGGGAGGTAGAACTTGGAAGGAGAGAGGGGTGGGGGGAAGGTGTTTTTAAGATTTATTTAACTTTTCACTATCCTGCTCTGATTCTGTGAGTAATAAATTTAATTAATACCCCCACTTCAAGTCTGATTTGCCCACGACAGTAATCAGTGAGTGATCTCTCCTGTTTCTTAACTCGTGAAACCTTCGGTATGTTTTCTCTTCCCTGTCAAGTTGCAGAAGGAAGTGAAAGAGTGGCTTTGGTGGGTACCTGGCATCCAGCCAGGGTCAACCCACTACAACTACTTATTTTATTCAGGAAGGAAACCTTATAACTATAGCTCTAATAGATTTTTTTTCTACGAAAACATCACTTAAATCCTCTCAAAAAGCAAATTCAGTGTAAGGATTTACAAGGAAAGGCATAGAGAACAAAAACACTAACACTACTATGCTACCATATAAACCAAAATTGCATACATCTCTTGCACATTGAAGATGGTTCTAACTCCTGTCCCTCCTCCCTTCTCAAAAAGCACACAGTAGAACTGGAAAAAGTACACAGAAATGCTGTAGAGATGATCAAAGGTAAGGAACAACTTATATATTGAGGAATGACTAAATAAATAGGGATTCTTCAGCTTGGAAAAATGACAACTGAAAAAAATAGGAAACACATCCATAAAATCACAAGCTTCAGGGAGAAGGAGAAGAGGGAACAATCACTCACCTCTCATACTACAAAACATAGGAAAAACTGAATGAAGTCATCAGGTGGGCAGGTTAAAACAAACAAAAGGAGGTAGTTTTTCTCATAACACATAATTAAACTATGGATGCCTTCTTACTACGGGAAGTTAAGGATGCCAAAAATTTAAAAGGTTTCAAAAATGATTAGACAACTCACAGAAGCAAGAGCCACTAACACTATTTATATACAAAGATATCATCTCCTGGCTAGAAAATCACTGATTATCAAGTCCCAGAGAATACTGGGGAAGTATGACCATTCTGTAGCATCACCCAGTGCTCTTCCCACAGACTCTTCCATGGGCCTGTCTGAGCAGGACATTGAACGAGGTAGTCATCTGCTCTGCAAAAATGCAGCCAGTGTTCTTTATGCATCAGAGTTCTGAAACTAAATCTGTTTCAGGTCTAAGAAAGAAGTTAGAGAATTCAGTCAAGCACACTTTAAGGTATTCATTCAAATTAAATGATTAATTCTAGAAGGTAATGTCTATTCCAACTGCTCTCATATCTACCTCCAGCTCAGAACTTGCAATACATAAAATTCATCCTCTGATCCAAAAGAATGCTTGGAAAGCTAAAGACTGAGTGACTATCTCTAAAATGTAAAAGTCAAGACAAAATAAAGGAGGCAAAACTGATGTAAATGAAACTCCACTAAAATCAGACCTGCTGATAGCCAAACTGGCTTTGTGCCACATGTACGACATACAGTGATTGCAATGTGAGGGCCACCACTTAAATGGCAAAACTTTATTAACATTTCTCCGATCCTCAGTTCTTTTGTTTTGAGATATCTGGCAAAGGATAAACTGTTATGCAATTACAAAAACCTGAAGACTGATTTTTAAAAATGCACCAACATTCCTGCCTTTCTCCAACCTTTGTCCTTTGTTCAATTAATCTCAATGTTTTCATTTGGTTTCTAACCTGTTTTAACCCACTTTTTCTGTTTTAACCAATATATGATCTATATAGCCCAAAATAAATTCTTTAAGACATAATATTGCCCAGATAAGCCTAGCTTAAATTACCCAGGAAAGCACCATTGAAACTGTGTTATTAAATCTTCACAAAGAACTACCTTTAAAAAGACCAAATAAAACTGCAATAACTTTGGCTAACATATTCTTGCAGCACAGTCTTGTACACAACTCCCTGCAGTTCCAATACCTTCTCTCCACATGACAAAACACAAGAGAACTTACTTTTTTTCTAGATACCATACTGAAAATGCTGTTGCTTGCCTAAATAGATTTTACCCTCATGGCCAGCAGAATCCTTCTGGATTAAAAATGCTTCTGTTGG